CAAAGTTTTTAATGCACACACAAAACATAAAAGAAAATCCGGATAATTTATGGGGTTCGTTCAAGAAACTATCAAGAAATCAAAATTATCAATTTACAAATTCATTATTAATGAGAGGTTACAAGACAAACTCTTGTAATTTTGTTTATAATACATCAATTTTAATGAACGACCCTTGCTGTCATGACAATAACAATCATGGTAAAAAAGAGGAAAAAGAAGATGAAGAATGTACAATTACACCTTGTTGCAGACCGTTTAGACTTCAAAAAAAACATCCGTTTGCAATGAAGAAAAAAAAGGAAAAATGTGAAACTAAGGAAAAACCAAAATAAACTTTGTAATAAGTGCATTAAAAAAAAAAAAAAAAAAAACTAAATAAAGCTATTAATTCTTTTCATTCATGTTTAAAAAATAAAAAATTAATTTTTTTTCTTTAAGGGTAGCAAATAACATCTACAATATTAACCCCTAGCTAACCCATTCTCACAATATGATCTAAATAAAAATCATAATAAATTCTTTCTAGAATATTTTTATCAGTGATAAAATTATAATTAATTTTTGATAATAATAAAAAGATCAGAAAAAAAAGAAAAAACTATTTTTGTTGTGCCAACAAAAAGTTTTTTTATTGAATTTTTTTTTTTTTATTTATAAAAAAGATTCATTCAAGTCAAATTTTTTTTTTTTTTTTTTTTTTTTTTATGGAGTCATCATGATTTTAAGAATTAATGACTGACTATTCTTCATCCAAAAAATCACATTCGTCATCTTTACATTTCTTCATCATTTTTTCTTTTTCTTTGTATTTATCTTTTTTACCACTTTTGTCCATTCGTACCCGGGAAGGACCGCTCAGTTCTATGGGCGTTTGGCAACGACATGGACATTCGGGGCATTCAGGTGCACCGGTAGCTTTTTTCGGCTTAGGGCATACATTATTTTTTCTTCCCTTTCCCTTGGCTTTTTTGCAATTAACTAATCTGAATCCCAATGTGGATAAACTAATTTTACCTAAGAATGGCTCCAAAAAAAAACTATTGTAAATTCTGTCCAAAGACAAATTGTTTTTGAATGAAAAATCAGGAATTGACACGTGGCCATTAGGTATTGAATATTGTATATCTGAATGTAAAAATTTTTTCTCTGCACGAAATGGAGCTTGATGATGGCGTGTATGGCTTAATATTTGCTTAGAAACATTGGCAAATTGTCTTATCATTTTTAACAATTTATTATACTTGAACGAACCTGAAGGAGGAGTATTTAATATAAACAATCGAATTTAACAACCGGAAATATAAAATCAAATTATCCAATCAATTGCCTGTCATTATTCGGTAAATTTTGAAAATTTGTTTAACGAAATCACAAAAAAAAATTATTTTCTTTTAGATTTTTTTTTTTTTTTTTTTTTAAATTGACACCATATTTAAAATTTTAAAACACTCATTTGTCACTTAAAAAAATTTAAAAAAAAAATATATTTCGAATTTTATAGATAGTCGACAGCATCGCATTATACACTACGAAAACAATTATTTTAAAACTTTACCAAACAAAATCGTTATTTTTATCTTATTATTATTGATTATAAATTCAAATTTAAAATTTTAACGTTATTTTTAAGCCACCGCGAGACCTTAAAAACTCAACCAATTATTTTAATACTAATTTCCGTAAAAAAAAATTATTATTTTAATTTTTACTTGAATAATTTAATACTAAAGGTCTTGCATTAATACCGAAAGCGAAATTAAAATTGAATTATGGGCATGACAAAATAAAAATTTTTTAACGAGAAAGATTATTTCCATCAATTGAGAGTATAATTGAGTAATTAATTGTTTATATAATAATTTCTCTCTTTTCATTATAAGTGACAAAGTTCCAAAATTCTAAAAATTTAAATTTGACGTAAATTTCAAAAGGATAATGTTATCAAAACAAAAAAATAATTTGAATTTTTTAAAAAGAAATTTGAATAAAAAATTATGAAATAAAATTTTTTTTTGGTGGAAAAAAAAAAAATGTTGGCAAATTTTAAAAAAATTGGACAAATTGCTTTACATATACCATCTATAAATGGTTGGGGCACTGTTGGCCCCATAACTAAGAATAATTTACCCAATAACATATGCAAAAATTTCATGAGTAGTGATTGTGACAAAAAAAAATTGCCATGCCCTTGTAAGCCAGCTTTCAAAATAAGGAAATATAAAAAAAAAAAACCTGGAAGATGTGAAGAAGTCATAGGTTGTCCTACAATAAAACATAAGTGTACAGAAGGCCAATGTGAAAGATCTAAAGAAAAAAAACCTGATTCTTAAAAAAAAAAGAAGCAATTTTAACAGAAACAATTTAGCAAGAATAGAACAGAATAAATTTTTTAAGTGTATTAAATTTTTCAGTCATGTAAATGTTACTTTTTGTTTAAATCTTTAAAGTAAATTATTTGGAAGAAGCATTACTACTGTTTGTTCTGTTTACACCTGGACGAATGGGACTTTCTCATATATTTTTTTTTGTTTTTTGAATATGTAATTCCACATTTGGACATTTTTACATAAACACATGCATATTTTTAGGTGTAAATATATGTAAAAATATATTTACACCAGAATATTGATAAAAAAAAAAAAAAAAATAAGAAACTTACCCAAAATATACTTCTTCAAAGTAGTAAAAGGCCATGAGCAGGTAACGTAAACGCACAAGTTCATTTTTCCCAAATATTAATGCACGAACTTTATTATCTTTCCATCCGGTTAAAAATGTATTTATATTATCATTGTTGACATTAACAATTAACTTGTATGGAAATTTACTTTTAATAAAATTTACAATTCTCTGAATGTTAAATTGATGATCTTTAAATGTATAAACTTTTCCTTCAATAAGAAGAATTAATGTTGGCACAAATGAAATTCCACATTTCTTTGCCAATGATTTTTCCTCTTCACTATCCACAGTAGCCATTTCAACTCCTATAGGTTCTAATTCTTCTATCATTTTTTTCCAAATAGAACTAATTTTAACACACTTAATGCACCAATCTGAATAAAATAGGAGTAAGTGTGGGATTTTATAACTTTTTGGTAATAGATTGTTTTCAAAAGCTTTCGCAGTGATGGATAACTTATGATAAAGAAAAATTTTAGGATTGTGATTATAATATTGAAAATCATTTGGGAAAGTAAATATGTCTTCGAATAAATCAAAATCCTCAAATTGATATGGACGATGATTTTTGTGATTACTATCAGGTTTTATAATACCATGAAGATCATATTCCTTTCTACGTTCCGGATCACTCAGAAGCTGAAAAAATAATTATAAAATTATAATGATTATACATAATTATATTTTCCTGATAAAGTAATATTTTATCAAATCATATCATTCTAATAAAGCTTTTAACTCAAATTGCTTTACATAAATATTTGTGACAGAAAAATGTATAAAATATTATTAATTCATTGAAAAAAGTAATTGCATTGGAACAAAGAAGAGACAATAATTTTTTTTTTAATTTTATGAATAAAATTTTGGTATCTCACCTCATAAGCTTGAGTTATTTCAACAAATTTACTGGCAGCTTTTGGATCATCATTTTTATCTGGATGCCTGTGAAAAAAAAAAAGAAAAGAAATTTAATTTTTCTTATTTTATGTAAAAAGCATAAAAAATAAACAAAGTTCGTATAATTGGCAAATATTTAAAGTATGCAAAAAAGTGTTTTTTTTTTTTTTTGTTTTAAATTATAAATAGTAGTAGTACCATTCTTTGGCAAGTTTTTTATAAGCCTTCCTCAATTCTTGTGCAGTAAATGATTTTGTCGCTCCCAAAATTTTATATGGATCATCTAATGGGCCTAAGCCATTTGATAAAATTAATGATAAAATACTAAGCAGTAAAAGTTCCCATTTCATGATTAACATTTTTTTTTTTTAATTAAAGACTGTAATCTTTAATGAATTTAAAAAATGTTTTACTAAATTTACACGTTAAAATTGTTATTGATCGTAACGACATTATTGCTGTTGAAGCATCCATTCCTGAATGGTGGACTCAACAGTTTTGCCAAATTTAATAATGTTACAAAACCTCTCATATGTTTAAAAAAAATTAATAATGATGTAAAAAAATGAAAACCTTAATTAAAAATTTATGCTATTAAATTTTAAAACTTTTTCTTTGTTTTAAAAAAAAAAAAAAGGCTCTAATACATAAATTATATTTTATTTTACATTATTTTACAAATAATTATTTTAAAAACAAGACATTTTTTTTTTTAAAATTTTCTTTAATTTTAATTATAAAATTGATATAATAAAAATTTTAACGTTCAATTTATAATTTTCTTGAATTGATTGAAAGAGCGAGTTATTTTTTTTATTATTTGCCATTTATTTTTTTTTTTTTTTTTGTAATAAACGTTCAAGAGTTGGCATTACAGTTAAATCGAAGAAGGATATTTGATGTGAAACTTCATACTGTTTAACATTTTACCACGTAAGTTTTAAACTTACAAGTAAAAATTTTATACATTTTTTATTTTAAAGTTTTTTAAATGAAATTTGTACCTTATTTATGTGAGGCTTAATTTTATTTTCATAAATTTTTCTATTTATGTTGTAGATGCTTTTAAAATGTAAACTAACGGTAGCACAGTTGCATAAATTTAGGCAACGCCTTTTGTTTACTGTTGTTTTAATTTCAGGTATCTTATCATTAATTTTTTTTTTGTTGATGCCGATCACGAAATTAATACGTGTATTAACTAATAATGATTTAGTATAATACAATTTTTTTAAAAAAAAAAGGACCTATTAAAAAAAATACTTAATTAAAAAAAAAAAAAAACTGCTTCAACGTATTGACGAAATATGGAATTATGATATTTAAAATAATTAAAATTATAAAAAGTTTATATTGAATAAAAGCGGTTAAGATATAGTTTTATGCATTTTCAGTTTCAAATATTCACCTTCCAAATAAAAATGTCCAAAAAAACAGTTACACAGCAACCTGCATTACATAAAGTAATTATGGTGGGAAGTGGAGGAGTAGGAAAATCTGCACTTACACTTCAATTTATGTATGATGAATTTGTTGAAGATTATGAACCTACAAAAGCTGATTCATATAGAAAAAAAGTCGTATTAGATGCAGAGAATGTTCAAATTGATATTTTGGATACTGCAGGACAAGAAGATTATGCTGCTATAAGGTGTACTTAATTTTAATGATTTACTTTTAAAATTTCACCAAGATAAAATTAACAAAAATTTAATATTTCCTACTTGAAACTTATTCTAAAAAAAAATCAATGCAATTGCTTGAGAATTAAATCGTTCTATTGAAAAAGGTTTTCTTACTCTATAGAAATCTAGAAAAAGTTAATAAAATTTTTTTTTATAAATCAAATATTTTTAAACTTGAAAGTTTTGATAAAGTACATTTTTGATAAAATTTCTTAAAAATGAATATGCAAATTTTTATTTCAATTAACATATTTATTTTAATTTTAAAAAAAATACTTATTATCAAGGTTACATTTTTTGCTAAAGATGTCTTTTTAGTGTTGTTCTAATAAGTACTAATGTTTAAAAATGTCTCCTCTCATATGATAATACATTCTATAGTATGCTTATGAATATACATTTTTTTTAAGATGAATTATGTTTTGATTTGCAATTATAAATAATTCCCTTGTATAGTATTTTAATTACTTAATGTTATTTTTCAAAGACTAAAGAAGATTATCATTATTAATTTAGTTACAATGATTTTAATATGTATCTTGCATGTTTCAGAGATAATTATTTTCGAAGTGGAGAAGGATTTTTATTTGTTTTTTCAATAACTGAGGAAGATAGCTTCCAAGCAACTCAAGATTTTAGAGAACAAATTCTTAGAGTGAAAAATGAAGAAAGTATTCCATTTTTACTTGTTGGAAATAAGTGTGATTTAGAGGATAAGAGAAAGGTTTCTTATGCTGAAGCAAAAAATAGAGCTGATCAATGGGGTGTACCTTATGTTGAAACATCCGCCAAAACCAGGGAAAATGTCGATAAGGTATTATTTTAAAAAAAACCTTTCATGAAGTTTATATTAGATTATGAAACTAATTTAAATATTTTTGACAATATTAATTTTAACCAAATGTTAGGAATTGCATTTTGTGGTTCTTTAACTTTAATTATAGTAAATAATTTCATTTTTTCATTGTTTGCTTTTGTTATTATTACTATTTGATAAATGTAAAAATTTAATGACTTACCTCACAAAATGTATACTCGTACACTTTTTTGTCCAACTTGAAGTAACAGCCAGGTTGTAAAAAATTCTTGATTATAAGATGTATTACACAAACTATAAGATGTTATCCCTGTAAAAAAAAAAAAAAAACATTTTTTAAGTTAGAATCATATAGTATTTTAAGCTATTATAGGGGAAATGATTTTATAATCAAATCTTCTTAATCTGAACTAATAAAAAATAAAATGGTTAATGAAAGATTTGAAAAAAAGTTTTATTAACAAAATAATTTTTGTAAATTAAAGTGCATTAATAATAATCTTGTTTAAATCTTTTAGTTTACTTCATAAATTTTTCTACTTAGTAATTACTCGACTTAAATTATAAAGACAATGTTATTTATCATTATTATCTTTGTATTATTTCCATTAATTAATCATTAAAATGAATCGTTAACTAAAATTATCTATTTAAAAAAATTAAAAGGCTAATTATTTATAATTTTTTATAATTATCATTATTATTTGTTTTTTTTTTTTTGTTTTTTCACTGAAAAAAAAAATTTTTTGATTTTAATTCCAGGTATTTTTTGATTTAATGAGAGAAATAAGGTCTCGTAAAATAGAAGAAAACAAATCAAATGTTGGAAAAGGAAAGGACAAAAGTAAAAGAAAAGAATTTAAATGTATAATTTTATAGGTAAGAAGTATCATTGATATAAATAAATATTATTAATGTATACAATTAACTTTTAAGTAATATTACACAATGTTTTTTCTTTTTAGGATATTTTCATACTTCATAACCACACTACGAAAAGAAAAATTAATTTTGGTCACAATTATTTGAACAAAGTGGAAAAAAAATTTTTTAATCATGTTCTAATTATTATTATGAATCATTTGCTTCCCTTACTGCAAGATTTTATACTACTATGAATAGTAATGTAATTTTTTTTTTTTATCTTTAATAATATCGATTTTCTTTCTTTGTGAGAATTAAATTTTTTTTGCTAATGTTTATGTGAAATATTAAATTTAATTCTCGATAACATTAATATATCTCATTGTTATATGTTTAGTTAAATTTATATTTTAATTACTCTGCCAATTAAAATAGTGCAAAAAAAATGTTTAAAATACTATGTATTTAAAATATTAGTATGGAAAAAAAAAAATTTTTTTCTACCACATTTTTGTATTAAATTAAAAAATATTTACATAAATATTTTTTATCATTAATTATCTTTTAATTTATTAAGTATTATGCCTATATAATATATATTTATATAACTTTGGGTGCCTTTTTTTTATATTTAACAAAAAAAATTTTTCTTTTTTATCGCTTACTCTTCAACAAAATCTTTTAGTTTCTCTCTATTTAGATGTTCAACATTGATTTAAAAATTATAAATAAAAAAATTCAAGTATTTTTAGAAGAAAAATGATAAAATGAGATATAAATGCTAGATTTTGAAGCGAACAACAGTAGGAACCCTAATAATTATATCAATAATTTTCTGAATGTTAACATAAATTAATTTTAAAGTGATTTTATTGAAACAAAATTTATGTTACTCAAGGTTAAGTAAAATTCATATAATTTGAATTATAATCCCCATTTTAAGTAAATATTAAGTTTTAATATCATGTTTATGACTTGATATTGTAATGAGCAGATTTTAAAATGACATTTATAAAAAAATCCCAACATTTCAGTACTAAAAATTTCCATTGTTCATGCATTAAATATGAACACAGATTAATTGAAAAAAAAAAAAAAGAAAAATGATTAAAACTTTTACCTGTTACAATTTATTTGTGTCAATTTATGTAATAGTTATTTTAAAAAAATATAATATGTACATTATATTCGTATAAAAGTCGATCACAAAATTTCAAACTGAAATTTATAAAAACCATTTGCTTCGAACGTTATTTTTGTGCGTTTTATTTTTCGTGTCAACAGAAAACGATTGTCGTAATAATTATCTTTTTTTTTTTACTTATAAAAATAATATTCACGTAATTTTTTGAAACTAAAAAATTTAGTCATATTTTCAATGAAAATTTACAAAAATTATATTTAAAATAACAAAAAATAAATTTCAAAAATTTTTTTCAATTATCCATAAAATAAGGCTGACCGTTGTTGCTTATTCTTTTCGTTAATATTTCTACACCTGTATCCGTTACTAATAACGTCTGCTCAAATTGAGCAGATAAAAGACCATCAGCAGTTACAGCCGTCCAAGAATCAGGCCACATTTCATCCCTCCACGTTCCTTGACTTATCATTGGTTCAATTGTAAAACAATGTCCAGGTTTCATTATTCCAACAGCTTTGTTTTCTGCATTAAATAAAAAGTTAGAAGAAGGAAAAAAAATTGTGAAATAATTTTGAAAAAAAAAACTCATAAATTCCCTTACTTGCATAATGTGGTATATTTGGAGCGGTGTGAAACAATTTATGAATACCATGACCACAATAACTTTTAACAACAGAAAATCCATTGGCTTGGGCATGTTTTTGAATTATATTACCTATTTCTCTGTATTTTTCTCCAGGTTTCACTGAAACAATTTTAATCACATTATTAAAGAAAAAAAATTTGTACATATGACCAAATAAACTTTAACGATAAAATGTAAGGATAATAAAATTGTTCATTTCTTAAAACAGTTTAGCATACATTTAATATTTTTTATTAATGATGTATTTTATAGCCTTAAACAATCAGTAACTTTTTAAATACAACTTACTTTATTAAAAACAAATTAAAAGCATAAAAAAATAAAAATATAATTTTTTTTTGAGATTTTGTTTAATTTTTAAAATGAGATAAATACTACCTGCTCAATTCCTTTTTGAAGGCATTCCCAAGTAATTTTTGTCAGCTTTCTACCGATTTCCGGAACATCCCCAACTAAAAATGTTTCATTTAAATCGCCGTGATAACCCCTATGATATACAGTTACATCGACTAAAAGAAATAATTGATACAAAAATTAATTAAAAAAAAAAAACAGCAAAAATTTTTCAAAGTTCACTAACTAAAGTTGAAACATTTAAAGCAATTTATTTTATGCAAATTTATAATTTTATTATTATTAAAAACTTACCATTACATATATCTCCATCTTGCAGAGGCCTTAAATCGGGGATTCCATGGCAAATAACCTCATTTATAGAAGTACAACAAGATTTTGGAAATTGATAATAATTCAATGGAGATGGATAGCATTCTCTTTCAATGCAAGCTTCATGAACTATTTTATCAATTTCATCAGTGGTTACACCAACCTTGATAATTTTTGCTGCTTCCTCCAAAACTTCCCTACCAAGCTTGAAATAAAATTTAAATTTAGTAAATAATTTTAATTTTTTACTCAAACCATTCATAAAATACAAAAATACCTTGCATGCAACTTTCATTCCTTCTATTTCTTCATCATTTAATATTTTAATCTGAGCTGACCCTTTAGAAGCAAGTTCACTAATGGGAGAACCTGTTGGATGATCAGCATAATCAGGCCTCGGTATCGTGGGGGGTACTATTCTACAAGATGTTTGAGGATATGGTCTAAGTTTTCCTGTGAATTTATAATTAGGCCATGGAGTGTATGAATCATCTTGAGATATTGAACTATTAGCACCTTCTGCAAAAAAAAAAAGTATAAATAAATTTAATATTAAAAATATGTGGCTCTATAAAACTATATAAATTATTTAACTTTTCAAGTTAATCACATGGCAGAGTAAATTAATGATTGTAATCATTTTTTAAATTATGCAAGACATTACAAAATTTTTTTTTTAATAAAAAAAATTGAATAAAATTAAAAGAATAAACATAAAAAAAATAAGTTATCATTTCTAAAAGTGAAAGTTTAAAAAAATATATTAAATTCAAAGTAATTATAAGAAAAATTAAGGGAACACTTACTTGCAATTTTATGAAGAAGTTTATGGCTTTTCCAAGTTCCCTTGAAACAATCCTGTAATTTTATTTTTTTATTAAAATCTAAAAATTTAATAAATAAATTTTTAAATACAATATATTCAAAAAAAAAAAATTGTATTTAATTAATTAAATTAATATTTAATATGAATTTTGAAGAAAACCGTTGGTTAGAAGTTTCACACTTTTTCCCTAAATTACCACTTATAAATAAATATTTTAAAATACGATGGGTAAGGACAAACCTGTGAGCAAAAAAAAGAACCTTGAATCCCAAGCTTTATACAAGAAGGACATTGTAATTTTGCAACAGAACTGCATCCAGGTGTATCGCAAATCCTTGAGTCGAGGGACGTCATTTTCAAAATAAGCAGAAAGCTTTAAGAAACTCAAGGAGGCATTTATTATTTCCGCTTTTCTAAGTGAGTGACCTGTTTTTTCTTCAAATTATATTTGAGTGAACTCTATAATTTTTGTTAATTAATGTACTTAAAATAAATTAAAATCAAGTTTAAGTGTAATTTTTGATAACTCAAAAGTTAAATAATTTCATGTACAATGGTGGATAGCGAAGAATATACGGATTTTAGTTCGCAATTCCTCGATTCAATATTAGAAGTTGAAATGAAAGAGGATGACATAGAAATTGATATTCCTAAAAATGAAGAAACCATTGTCAGTTCTAGAAAATTACCACCTATACCTACTTTTGATCTGCAAATGCAAACTTTTAATTATAGAAATGCTGGGAATAGTTTGCTTATTCCAAAAGAAATTCCTAATACAACATTAAAAATACCAGTGCCCGAAGCAAATTCAGTAGTAGTTACATCAGGAAATAAATGCTTAGCTGCAGTGTCAGAAAATGTCAAAGAAGTATTACCTGTACAAATGTATCCTGTTAATACTACTGAGAACAATTTTTTATCCAGTTGTGTTGCCCCAAAATTAAAAACAAATATTATTCCTTCAGTTGATGTTAACAGTAGTAGTTATACAGATAAAATATTAATGACTAAATTTCTCAAAAAACTTTTTAAACCAGAATACACTAAACATGTTTTTGTTCAAAAAGATAACCCAAATGATGCTTTAAAACTAAAAAAAGAAGAAATGGATTTTTACAAAGCATGTTTTAAAGGTTAATATTTAAAAACATTTTTATATAATTTTACTTAAAATATTTTTTAAGTTATATATTTTTTATATAGTTTATTTAACTAATACATATTTGTCATTTTTTTAATTATTGAGATTGAATAGCCTCATTAAAAAAATTATAGCTTTGATAATAATAAAAAAAAAAAAAACTCAAAACAATGATGTTTTATAACATCACAGAATTTATTTTATTTTTGAATTATGTATTATTTATTGAATTAATTCAATAAATAATCAATAATAATTTCTTTTGATATGTTCTTTTTATTTATTCCTTATTTTTATTGACTGAAAAAATATTTTATTTAATTTTTCAGATATATCAAATGTGAGGCTTTGCAAACTTCATTGCACAATATGTAACAAACATTTGGGTTGCAGTTTAAATGTTGAAGCAAAATTAGTGTACATAAGATGCTAAAAGTTTTAGCATGTAAATCATGTTCTAGATTTTATGGAGATGGAAATTTTCCCTGTGATAACAGTGATAATAGTGAAACATATTGTAGATGGTGTGGTCAAGGTGGAAATTTAATTTGTTGTAATTTTTGCCAAAAAGTTTTTTGCAAGGTAATTTTTATATTTACTTTTAATTGTAAGAAATGGTGCAGACAACTGATAACAATTAATATACTGTTTTAAATTTATTTAAATAAATTAAAGATTTCTATAAGTAATTATTACATCTGCACACAAAAATTTTTTATTGTTATTGAAAATAAAATCGATAAAAATTCAAAAAAATGTTTAACAAAACATAAATAAAACTTATTTTCGATTCATATAAAATTTTCGATACATATTATTTTTTGAAATGTCCTTATTAAAAATAATTCTATACTTAACTTTTTTACTTACATAAATTAATGTAATTTTTATATTTTACAGAAATGCATAAGGAGAAATTTTGGGAATTCATTATTAAAATCGATACAAAATGCGACAGAATGGGCTTGTTTTTGCTGTGCTCAGAAGCCTTTATGGCCACATAGAGCTGTTTGTAGGGCATTAACGGAATTCATAAAATTACAGAAGTCTGACCCAAGTGCCTCTCTAAAAGATACATCTGTTTGTTGCAGTAAACCGGATAAAGAGGTTAAAACGTTAATTGAAAACAATGAAATATTGACGCAAAAACAAATTAAAATCAATACCATACCTAAAATCGTTTTTATGCAATTAAATAATAAAAAATGTAACGCGCTCCATTCAAAAGCTACAACTCAAAACGACCAATCCATTTTAAAAAATAACCTCTTATTAAAATCTAAAAACGAAACAAAAAATTTAATGAATCGAAATTCGAAAAGAAATAAAATAAACATTAACAAGAATGAGAAACCGGATTTGATTAAAATACAATCGTCAAATCACACACCGGAAAATACAATATTAAGAAATTTTATTTTAGACAACTATACAAAAAATTTAAACTCTTCAATCCCTCCAACTCAAACCATTCAAAGTCCCGTATTACACGGTGAAACATTGATAACTCCTCCAGGATCCAGAACAACATTAAAACATATCAAATCACCCATACAAAATGATTCCAATAAATCTCATCACACGCCAAAAGTCTTGCTAATTAATCCGACATCAAGTTTAAATGCACCATCTGATATAACAACGGTTACAGTTCCAAATGATGTACAAGGATTAGTATTGAAAATCACACTTCCCGATGGTAAAATACAATATGTAAAATTAATGCAGGAAGAAAAAAAATTATCAACTCTCGAACATAATTTACCAGAGCCTAATTTTAACTCATTAAATAATAAAACATGTTCGACATTTGTTGATGAAATTCTAATGGATTCTCTTAAATTATCAAAAACAATATATGATAAATTTTTACTGTTAAAAGAAAATATAAATTTAAAAACAAAATTATCCGAAGAAAGTTTGATTGTATCACGAGTAAATAAACTTCATAACCTAAATGAAAAAACAATAAATTTATTAAAAGATCTTGATAGTAATCTATTAAAAAAATATGAGGATTGGAAAACTCAAACAGGAATTAGTTTAAGTGATGAAAAAAAATTATTTAAAGAACGAAATGATTCCGACATAGAAATTCTAGAAGAATCTGAATCTAGTTCCTGTCACAAAAAAATAAAAACTGAGATTAAAGAAACGGGAAAAAATAAAAGTTTTAATAAAAGTTGTCAAAGTAGAATAAATAATGTTAAAAATAAATACAAACTCCCCGGGATAACGGTTGTTTCTCATAAAAAAACTGGAAAATTAAAAGATATTTCATCGGTGAAAAGAAAATAAAAATAATTTTCCATGTAATAAATAAAAGCATGGAAATTTCATGTTAAAAAAAAAAACCATCATCACAAATCTTCCTTTCACTTTTTACACTTTCCAATACGTGTAATCCCCCCCTTCCCCATCACCACAATTTAAAAATTTTATTATAATTAATTATAATATAACTTATTTAAAAATAATTCATTGTCTTTGATTAAAAAAAAAAAAAAAATTATTGTATAAAAAAGAATTTGTTATAAAAATTATCAGTGAATTATTTTGTTTTTCCCCCAATTTTATTTATGTATTTATTTAATGGTTCTCAATTTTATTTAAACATTATTATGTTTATAATATTCATTATTGTTTTTGTTTAACTATTTTTAAATAACTTTTAAGAAAATAGTTAATAATATATATAAAATTGGTTTTTATAATTGTTTTTTTTTTTTTAAATCCCCCCATTGAGTAACAAACCTTAAATCTCATCCCTTGCACCCTTGATCAAAAATATTCTTTATTAATATTATTATTATTATTATTAGAAATTATTTGTAATGATATTAATTACATTTTAATAAAAATTAATTATTTTTTTTTTATTAGTGCAAAATCTATAAATAATAATACATTAAATACAAAACTTTGAGTATTTTTAAAACAAAAAGAGTTGGAAAAACCTTATTTTTCCACAATGACGTCATAATTGAACTCCTTATTGCAAAAAAAATGATAATAATAAAATCGCCTAACCAAAAATCAGGATTAGGTTTTGTCAATCAATGAAAAACTCACATCCCGGAAATGAATGGAGAGGAATGGGGAATCCCGGTTAGAATTTTGTTATTAATATCCCTCCATTAATAATCCTTTTAAAACAAAATTATTAATAAATAAAAACATAATAATAATAATAATAATAATAATAATAATAACGACCGATTTTACCGATTGGAAAAAATAATTTTTGATAATTTCATTTATAAAGTGAAACAAACTTGTTAATAAAAAAAAAAAAAAAAAAAAATTTTTAAAAGGATTCGAGAAAAATAAAATAAATAATAATAATAATTCATTATAAGAGAGATTTTGAAAAAAATCTTTTTTTTAATGATTGTGCTGCTCATAAATAAAATATTAAATAAAACTCAAATCAATTTTTTTTTTTTTTTTAAACGGTTATAAGCAATTTTTTTATAAATATATATATATATATATACACTCATTTTGTTTGTTTACGCTTCATATCATGCATACATACATACATACAAACAAACAAACATTCATTAATTTGTTTCTTCATAATAATAATAATAATAATAAATGATTGATAGACTATTCATCGAGGATTTTTTTTTTTTTTTTTTTTTATACAAATTGCACACAAATAGCCTATAAATAAAATCAATTATTAAATAATACACAAACGTAATACATTCAAACAATAAAAATTATAATTAAAAATTCCATTATAAAAAAAAAACCGAAAACATTTTTTTAAGTTTAAATAATTATGTTGTAGGTGTAGGATTTTAATTATTTGTTATATTTTATGTAATCATTTACGTTTTAAAGGCATTTCTGGTAAAAAAAATTTTTGTTTCATCAATTTCCCGCCGAAAAAAAAAAACCAAATGTAAAATACTTGTAAACGCGATGACAAACAACCGTAAATTAAAAATAAATTAATTTTTCCCTTTTCATATTCATATTTAATTTCACTTATGCCCACGCAAAAAAAAAAAAAAAAAAAAAAAAAATGAGCTACTGAAATTTTTTTTTTTTTTTTTTTTTTGAAAGCTAAAATTACCTAAAAAAAAAAAAAAAATTTTTTTGTTTGTTGAAAGAAAAATTAATTTTTTTCCGAATTAATTTTTTCTTCCTTTTTTTCATCTTTTTCTTCAGACAAATCGATAAGTCCGTTTTCTGCTTCGAATTCTTTTAGTACAACATCAAGATTGTATTTTTTTTTATACGTCACAAAGAAATTACGAACGTGGGCTTCCGTTTTAGTTCCGATTATTTCGGCGATTGCTTTAAAATTTTTCCCGTGTTTTCTCACTCCTGAACAATTTAAAATTTTTTTTTCTTCAGCCATTTAGAAAAAAAAAGACATTGCATGTATAAATTTAACTTCTTACCTTGAACGGCTAACATAAGTTCTTCGTTTGTCCAACGAGAATTAATACGGGATATATTTTCCGGAGGACGCAATTCTTGAATGTTTTCATTTAATTTCCTTTTCATACTACTCAACGTTTGCTTGTTATTTTGGACCTGAAATTAAAAAGAAAAAAAATTTTTTATCACGTATATATATATACACGTGTGTGTACACGTAGTCTTGTGTGTTGCATGTATGTATGTACGCACGCACGCACGCATAAGTACATCTTTTAAAATCTTTGATGTGTGATATTAATATTATATAGAAAATAGACGTAGAAAGAGAATCTTATTTTTTTTTTTTTTTTTTTTTACCTGACGCTTAAGAAAAGATATTTCACGATCTAAATTATTAAATAAAATTTGAGAATGTTGCGAAGCCAAAGAAACCAAATCTTCATGGTCAATATGCATTCCTCTAGGAGGTTTAGCTTTTTTTTTGAATACATTATAACTGTGTCTGTCGCGACCTCTCAATGGCCCGACCGTTGGCCGAATGTTTCCAGTTTTTCTGAAATCAATTTCATTTTCCTAGATATCCGTATTTTTTTTTTTTTTTTTTTTTTT